CCGCGGACCCCGAACCCCGAAGTAAGAAAAAGCTGCTCACCGGCCCTTCGTCGCCACTCCGCGTTTGCGGATGAGCTCGTCCAGGGAGATGTCCGCCATCTTGCACCGCCGAGCGACCCGAGAGCAGCTTAGACGCCTGAAGCCCGCGAGCCCACCCCCTCGGCAGCTATTGAGCGACGAGCTACTTCCGGCGTCCGGCCAAACCACTCTCGCGACAGTTTAAACGGTACAAGGACCGGAAGGGGCGGGCTCTATTCCCGTGAGCCCTCGCGTTGCTAGCGCCTATTTGCATACAGCCTATTGGGGTACTGTGGAGCCTTTCGCTTTCCCAAACAAATAGCATTTAAAACGGCATTAAAAGTTAACAGCAAATAAGATAAACTTCACGGGAACGGAGCTGTTCGTTCAGTGAGCAACTTGTTGCTCACCATAGGTCGAATGAGAATGGATCTCGTTACCTAGGGGGTAAAAGGCTTGTTTCCTTTATGCCTTAAACTTATGAGTAAGGAAAATAACGATTCGGGGTGACGCCCGAATCCTCACTGCTAATGTGAGACGAATTTTTGAGCGGGTAAAGGTTGCCCCTAAGGTGACCCGCCTACTTTGCGGGATGCCTGGGAGTCGCGATCTGCCCGTCCCTTAAGCTCTTAAAAAGACAGATTCACTTGATTCTTATTGTGAAGGAGAGCTGTGCGGAGTGAATATGTGCTCATCCCTGAGTCAAGTTAGTGACCCGCCAAACCCGGTAGTGCACTCCATCCCTAATCCTGTGTGCTGTTAGGGGGGAGTGAAGTCATATTTAATCGGATCACAAAGAAAACAGATGTGGGGCTGAAAATACAGCTGGGTGCATTCGTTCCTGGAGACTTTGGGTTGCATCCCCAGCACCACAAAAACAAAACACGCGGTGTCCTTAGGCCAGGTGGTATGACTATCAGCTGCATTAAAAACAAGCTGGCACGCTGGGAGGCTGAGGCAGGAGGATCACAAGTTTGAGCCCAGTCTGGGCGGGCTGGGGATATAGCTCAGCCGCACATCGCCTACCTGGCCAGCGCAAGGCCTGAGTTCGACTCCCGGTACCAAAGAAAAGCGTTCGGCCCCAAGTACTGTGCCACCCAGTTAATTTGTTACTTCAAATTTTAGCATCGGTGCCGGGGATTGTAGCTCTGCAGCACGGCGCGTGCCTGGCAAGCCCAACGTCGAGTTCTATTCCCGATACCAAAAAAAAAAAAAAAAAAATTGTAGCGTCGGATGTGTGGTGACGGGTGGGAGCCGGGAGAGCCAGCTCTAACCCCGCGGGGCTTCCGTGGGCCCCGCACCCCTGTCCCTGGAATGCAGGCAGGCGGAAGGGGCAGCCACGCCCTGGCAGCGGTCGGAGTCTGAGTGGGACGGAGGCAGAGGGCTGGACAAGGCCAGAGGGACTCGGGCGGCGCGGTGGCCCTTTCCCGGGGCACTTCAGAGCTGGGGCATTCTGTCGTCCCGAGCACGGGGATGGAGGGCACTGTGAGGTTGGGGACAGGGACAGGGCTCTGTGGGGACACGCAGGAGCCAGAGGACCTGGCCCCGCTGCCTTCGGAAATCTCCAGGGAAGGGTTCCTTCCGCCTCGGAAAACCGCACCGAAGGGCAGGGTCTGGAGGTCGCCTGCTGCCGGGGCTGGGGCTGGGGCGGGGGCGGATCGGTTCCCCAGGCCCGATCCGGCCGCACCTGTCCCGAGGCAGTCCGTCTCTGGGACCGCGCTCAGCACGCTCCGCGGCAAGGCGACCCCTGTGACCACTTAGCTTTCCGTGTGCGCGGGTGGACGTCGCCGGCCTCCGGTGTGAGAAACTGGAGGCGTAAACACGGACCGAAGTGTGTAACAGAAACGGTGAGATAGGAAGGAATTCTTCAACAGGAAAGGGCAGCTGGCAGGAAGGGAAAGGAAGGAGGGGAAAAGAAACAAGTAAGAAAAAATGGAAACAAAGCTTTGCAAGCAAGGAGGGCAGGAGGGGTTGCAGGGAGGGAGGGCGTGGGATGGGGGATTCCGGAGGGAAGACAGGGACAGATGCCCTGATGAGTGTGAGCATTATGTGTGCCTGCAATGTGCCGATAAACTTCATTTAAAAATAAATTGTAAAACATTACAGAATGCGTGTGCACATGGGGTCACTCCCAGGGCGCACGGGGGTGGGGTGGGGTGGTGGTGGTGGTGGCTGGAAACGTTATTGGAGGGGCTGAGAGGCCCGGGAAGGAGGACCACCGCAGGCTCACCCTTCCCACCCTCCTCCTGCGTGGCTCTGGGACGGACCCCAAGCCAGAACCTCCGGGGTAAGCGCACGCCCATTTTCCGGGCAGGAGCTGAGACCAGCCCAGGGGTAGTGACCAGGCCCAACTCATCCCCCTCCTCTCACCCTCCTAGGCAGGCTCAGGCAGGACCTGGTCAAGCCTGGATCCCCGGCCCTGTTTCCCCATCCTCAGAGGGAAGAGGAGAGCAAGACCAGAGGGGTACCTTGTTGTGAAAGCAACAAGGGCCAGGCCTGCACCAGGCATTCCTTCCTGCAGGTGGGGGACCATGGGACACCCTTTCACCTGGGTCTCCCGCAGTGAGCCACACCCCAGCTGGGTTCCCAAGGAGGAGGCAGTGTCAGTCTGTCATCCCAGCACTCAGGAGGCTGAGGCAGGAGGATCTCTGTGAGTTCAGGGCCAACCTGGGTTACATAAGCGAGTTCAAGACCAGCCTGCACTACATAGTGAGACCTTGTCTCAAAAAAAACAAAAAGAAACCCTAGGGGCCCAGAGCCAGGTCCAGCGAGGTCACCTGGCACCAGGTAGGGCTTGAAAGCTCAGCACCACGCCCCCGCCTTGTTTTGAGGAGCCGGTCCAGGAAGTCACAGTCTGTGGGCTGGGGCGCACAAGGCCCTGGATCCCAGCCACACTGCAAAACCCCTGACAGAGGGCAGAGAGGGCACCACCAGCGCACAAACCCACAGCCTGGAGACAGCCTAAGACCCGGCGGCAGGGGGCTCGCCACTGGTCCTGGGTCCTCCTGGGCTTGGGGGGTGTCCGACACGACACCCACACGGTGGCCATCCCAGGTTTCAGCCACAGCCTCAGCATGGCTTCCCATGTCGCTGGGTACTCATGACACGCCACAGCTCACAGGACACCCCGGAAGGACGCCCGTCCCCACCCGGGGCGGCGGATCACAGAGCACCGGCTGCAGCAGCGCTGAGTAGCAAAGTTTTACTTGAATTCTTTCTCTGCTCATACATGACTCCAAGAAAGCCGCTACGTGGAAGGCGACACAGCTGTTGTCTAGAAGCCCCCAAGGGCGTCTGTCAGAGGAGAGGCACTGGGCAGGCCCCCGCGGGGCGCAGGGAGGCGGGTGGGGGCCGAGGGGCTGATGTCCCTCGGGGCTGGGACCTCTGCACTCCGCCAGGCTGGCAACCTGGGGCGCCCAGGGCTGCCTGAGTGTCTGGGGGTGCTGGAGAAATGCTGGGGTCCCCTGAGAGAGGGGCTCCAGCCAGCGGGGCCTGTGGGCTCTGGGAGGGGCTTCAGGAGTCAGTTGTCTCGTGTAGTGTCGGTGAGGGTGGCCGTGGCGGGGGGCAGGCTGGGCCCCGAAGCCCTGCGCTCCCCCCCTTCCAGGGCCGGGCAGTACGAGGGTCTGGCGACCTCAGCCTGGGCCCCAGGCGGGGTTCGCAGAGCAGCGACAGGCGTGTCCCCAGCGGCGCCACCAAGGCACAGGCAGGCCGGGCTGAACCCGGGCCCCGGTGGGCGCAGCAGCCCCGTGGGGCGGCAGGGGAGGACGAGAGCAGCAGGCGGGCAGAGCGGAGGCGCGGTCCCAGCTCAGAAGGAGAAGCAGCGCTCCTTGGCGTGGCCCAGGCGCTCCAGGTTGGGCAGGCAGGCGAACTGGATCATGGGCGGTGGCCCGCACATCAGCACCAGCGTCTCCTCACCCGGCGGCGGGAGGTGGTCCCGGATCATCTCCTCGTTCACGAAGCCCTCGCTGTAGTCCCAGGCTGTGGGGACACAGGGCGCCGAGGGTGACTCTGACTCTAGCCTCCTCCTGCCCCGCACCCTCTGCTCGCAGGGCTCCGATTCCTCCTCCCAGGCCAGGTGCAATCCCTCCCCAGCTCCCTGCCCCACACTTTACAGGGCGCAAAGCCTTCTGCCTCCACCTGGCCTCTCTCTTCCCACAGAGAAAGGGCTACCGATCCCATTTTATAGATGTGGAAACTGAGGCTCAGGAGACTCAGAACTAGGTTGTTCAAAGTGCCACCACAAGGCAGAGACATGGCTGAGAGTCCGAGTCACGGGTCACCCCACCACGTGGGAACCTGATGCTTCTGCTACATGAGCAGGGAGGGGAGACCTAGGTGTTTCTGTTTTGTTGTGGTGCTACGCCTGGAACCCAGAGCCTCTTGCAAGCGGGATGGGCACTCACCACTAAGCTGCAGCCCCAGCCCCGAAACAAGTCTTTCATTTTGAGACAAGGCTTCACTGCATTGCCCAGACTGGACTTGATCTCATAATGCATCCCAGGCTGGCCTGGAACTCACAGCAATCCTCCTGCCTCAGCCTCCCCTGTGCTGGGATTACAAGCATGCACCACCACACACCTCTCCTAACACTTCCTGTCAAAGCTCCCCCTGCTTTTTTTTTTTCTTTGAGACAGGATCTCCCTATGTATGCAGCTGGTCCTGAACTCACTATGGAGCCCAGGCTGGGCTTAAACTGACAGCAATCTTCCCGCCTCAGCCTAGGGAATGCTGGGATTACAAGCATGCGCCACCACGCCAGGGCGAAGCTCCCTATTTTTCAAGGCTCTTCAATGTTCAATGGGATGAACGCTAGCTGAGGACAAAGGACACACGCTGGCGGTGCCACCTGGGCCTCTCCGGGGAGCCTGGTGCCAGGAGCCCAGTGAGAAGGCCTGACAGAGGTGTCACTGAGGCCTGGCTGGGTTCTGGTCCCTCAGAGTACCTGTCCCCAACACCAGGGGCCCCTTCAGCTGGTCTCCACCCTGTGCCTCCCTAACGCTGCAACACTGACAGAGAAATGTGCACGTGCCCAAGGGCAAAGGCAATGGCGGACGCGAGGCAGCTTGCCCAGATGACCAACGCTCAGTGCCTCACCCCTGTCCCCTCCAGGCGGCTCGCAGGAGTGGCAGGGCGGAGGGGACCGAGGAACAGGAGTCCTCTTAGACTCGAGGACACTTCACCGTGGCAGCGGGGAAGCTAGGCGCACACACACGGCCGCGTGTGGCGATGTATACCACGGGTCACAGTGCGCAACAGCTCCTTCCTGACTGCCCTTTACGGCCCTGGCAAAGTCTCCGCAAGCAGAGGGCCCCGGGAGGCTGCCCTACCGCTGCCCTACCGCTGCCCTCCACACCGTGCCCGACGGGGTTAAGGACCCTGTCCCTGCGAGGTGACCTGCGTCACCGCGCGCCACCACCAGGGGGCGGCAGCCCCTCCCTGCCGGAGGCCGGCCAACCCGGAGGAGATGCGCATCGGGAACCTGGTCAGGAGGGGCACCCGCTGTCCTGCCCCCTCTGACGGGGACGGGCTACGTGCGACCCCATCCTGCTGTCCCTCCGCATGGGGCAGGGACGCCTTTACTGCTGTCCCCGGCCCTGGGGCCAATCAGCCCTGGAGTCCCGCGGGAGCGCAGGAGCGTTGAGAGCGCCCTCCGCCCACGCGGCCCTAAGTCCCTTCCTCCTGTGGCCCTGGCTCCACCCCAAGCTGCAGCCCTGGGCGGTGTCCATCGCGGGAGGCCTGGACTGCTACAGCCCGGTCCCCCCATCGCTGTTCCCAGCCCGGGCACCCTCCCGCTGGAGCGCAGAGGACACGCCCCGCCCCGCCCCGCCCCGCCGCTCACCCTCGGGGGCCTTGTCCAGCGTGTACCACAGCTTGAAGCGATCGGAGTTCGCGTTCCTCAGTTCCTCCAGCTCGGGCCGCAGCAGGATGTCCTTCTCGGTCTGCGGGGACAGGGCCACGGGGTCATCACGACCACTGGGGGCCACACTCAGTGCAGCTTCCTGGAGGCCCAGGGAGCCTGGGCCTGGGCCGTGGTACTGTACGCCTGTGATCTCAACGCTCTGGAGGCTGAGGCAGGAGGATCACAAGCTCCAGCCCAACCTGGCCAACTCAGCAAGACACTTCCTCAAAATAAAAAAAGGAGGCAGAGGTTGTAGCCCAGTACCAAGGCCCTGGGTTCATTCCCTGGTACCACAAAAGAGGGGGTGTAGCTCAGGGGTCAAGCATTGGATTAGCATGCGTGAGGCCCTGGGCTCCGTTAAACTTCAGCTTCCAGACTTCCCAAGAGATGCGCGGCCCAGCCCACCCTGACCCCCAGTCCCGAGCTACACGGAGCCCCACACCACCGTCCTAGCCAGCAGGTGACAGGCGTGAGGACGCCCCACAGAGGGATGAGGGGTCTGCAGAGCACGGCGCCCTCGCTTGGGTCTGCTCGTCCCCCAGTGGCCCTGGGGGGTCCCCGCAGCTGTTCAGGGAGGAGGACCCAGGCGAGCCTCCCCGCTGGGGCTGGACGGCCTCGCAGAGGGCAGGTGGCAGCGCGGGCTAGGAGGACCCTGGGGACAGGATGACCTGAGCCACATCTGAGAGGCCAGGGCTCAGGGCCTGGCCCTCACACTGCTGGGCAGGGGTCTCGTCATGGTGTCCTCAGAAAAGCACGTCGCATTGAACTCACACGGACGCCTCATGAGGCCACACAGCAGGCCCAGCTGGGCAGAGAGCAGGCCCGGGTAGAGACCAGGATCCAAATACCCTCCGGCTCAGGGACCTGGTGTCAGCATTGCCCACCACCCCTCATCTGTGACCCAGGATCACCCCAAGCTCTGCTCGTGGGCAAGGAGCACTGGCATCTGGGGAAGCTGGGGTGGGCACCCCAGGGCCTCCCTGCCGCTGGCACACCATCGGCCTACCTGCTGCCGCCAGAGCCCCACCCCATCACCCCCAGACCCCCACAGAGCCGTGCTGACCCCTGGACACTGCCGGCGGGGCCCAGGCCTCCTCTCCCCCACGGCCACCGAGGCACACTTTGAGGGGCATCCGCTGACCTGGTTGGCAAAGAGCAGGTGGCACACGGTGCGGTCTTCTGGGTCCTTCATGATGGCCCGGATCACCTGCAGCATGGGGGTGATGCCTGCAGAACAGCACCCCGTCTGAGCGCCTGCTGGGTCCAGGGGACCCTGGCCTGGCACCCCCCCACACATGGCGCCCCCTACCTGTCCCTCCGGCGATCATGCCCACCGACTTGGCCGTCTTGATCACAGGGCTGGACTTCTTGTCGGGCCGAATGGCAAACTTCCCTGGGAGAAGAAGGGGAGTGGGGCTCAGAGGGGGTGAGGTCTGCCCAGCCGGTCACCCCCGGAAAGCAGACCCAGGGCCCGCGGCGTCCCAGCTCCCAACATGCGTCACCTCGGCCCTGGTACACCAGCAGCCCGTTGGGGCCCCGGAACTCGATGGTGTCTCCAATCTGCATGCTTTCCAGGTACTGCGACATCTTCCCCCCCGCAGGGAACTTGGGGTGTGTGTCCTTGAAGTAGACCTGTGAGACACACGTGTGGCCCTCAGCATCTGACCCAGTGGCCAGGGCTCACCCCTGCGGGGACCCAGGGCCTCTTCATGGTGCCCTAGGGCCCCTGTGGCTACCTCCCGTGGTGCCCTGTCCACTGCCCATCAAATTCCCCATCCTTGTCTTGTGCCCCCTGTCTGCCCCCCACTAACACTGGCCAAGCAGGGCATCTGCCAGGTGTGCCAGGCCGGTGGCTTCAGGGCTCTGTGTCACCTTCTGCTGAGCCACCCCCACCCCAGCCCCGGCAGCACAGGCCGGGCTTGGCTCGGAGCGTGGCTCTCGGACAACTGCCCTCCCTGCAGCCGGGGACCACGCTCTGGGGAAAGGGAAGCACAGAGACAGGAGCGGGGACAGAGGCAGCGGGCACTGAGACGAGGGCAGAGCCGGGGAGGGAGGCTGGGAGAGGACACCGGAGTCCCTGTGGCCCAGCACGGGGATTATGTGGCAGGGGATAGGGGGGCAGAGCACCCTGTGCCAGCCCAGGACTCTGACCTTCGTCCAGGGCCAACGGGAGCCAAGAGGGGCCGGGTCACCTGAGAACTGCCTCCACGCTCGCCCCCTGCCTTCACCTCAGGGACCAGAGGTCGTGTGAGCGACGCCCCTCCTCCGCTCCCGGGCCCTGGACAGAGCCCTGCTGGGGCCTCTAAGGCCACCGGGGGGTTGGGGGGGGGTACTGGCCTCTCCCATCTCCCGGCCGGGCCCAATGACCCTGCCGGTCTATGATCCATCCCCATCCCCGAGCCCCCCTTGGGCCTTCCCAGGGCCTCTGCACGGGTCCCTTCCTTTCCACTCCACTGGCCTGGGCACCCCCCACCACCCCATGCAGGAAGTAGCCGGATACCTCACCCCACCCACCCAACGCCCTGCCCCCCTGGGGCTCAATCTCGTGCCCCCATCCCAGAACCACCAGGCCAAGGGCCCAGAGTCCAGTGGGCCTGGTCACCCCATAGCTTCAGGGGCTCAGCTGCGGCCCACGGGGGCTCCTCTGCCTGCAAGAAGGGGCAAGGCCGGGGTGTAGCTCAGTGGTACAGCACCAGCCCGGACCTCAAATTAAATACGGAAGGCTCAGTGAGGGGCTCCAGGGGTCCCCACAGGGGCCTGGGCATCACCTGGCTGTCACCCCCCAGGCCCACTGTTAGAACACGTGCCACGTGGCAAAGCTTTACTCTAACTTCTGTAAAATCGGGTTGTGTGGCTCTCACTGTGCCTCCTACTCCTCCTACCCTTTGTGACATCGTTCTTCTTCTGTATTTTTGTTTTTGGTGGCGCTGCGCTACATCCCTAACGTTTTCTTTATTTTTCATTTTGAGGCCAACTCTTGCTAAGTCTTTAAGTTGCCCAGTCTATGCTCGAACTCACAACCCTCCCGCTTCAGCCTCCCAGAGGCAGTGCTGGGATTACAGATGTGTACCCCACATGCCCGGTGGCATGCTGTTTTTTGGGGCCCCCGCCAGGGGCACCTGTCCCTTTAGTCTGCTGCTCCTGACAGCAGCACCTCCCCCATCACCGCACACAAGACCCACCCCTTGATAGACCCAGGTCCCTGAACAGCCACGGGCTCCACACGGGCCCTGGGTGCCCTGTGGGTCAGAGGGGCCCTGCCATGACCCACTCTCGAGGCAGACAGGTCCCTGGGCTTCTCCGGAGCACAGAGGGAAGGGGCCCGGCCACTGCTGGCCCTGCGGCTGCCCCTTGCACACACTGTCCGTCTGCAGGGGCTGAGCCCCAACCCCGACCCTCTCTGCTGGGGCCCCTCCCTCTCCCCCCACCGGGAAACCACAGTTTGCGATCCCCTCAGAAATCAGGCGCTAGGGGGCACAGGGCTGCGGAGATCACCCAAAGGCACTGGGCCCTGGAGGTGGGCCACTCCCACCTGCCCCGAAGGTGGGGCGCCGCATGGCCACTCCCACCTGCCCCGAAGCCCAGCCAGGGACCCACCTTGATGACCAGGTCCACAAAGCCCTTGTCATCGTCGCTGGAGACGGGCGTGTAGGGCCGGATGACCAGGTTCCCATCGATTCGAGCGGAGAGGTAGATGTGCTGGCCTGAGGGACAGGGGGGCGGGGGTCACTCCTGGCCAGGAACGGTCCCTGCGGGGGACCCCTGGGCCTCATCACCCCGCAGCCCCATGTCCTGCCCTGGGGTCCCACCACGTCCCAGCAGCCTGCCTCCCACCTCTGCCCTGCTGGGGCCACGGCCACTACTGGGGCACCGTCACCCTCCCTGGCTTCCCGCTGTCCCCGTGGACAGGCCCAGCGCCCAGGACTCACCGACAGGCAGGCCCAAGATGTGCTCGGGGGACGGCAGGGCGAAGCGGAAGCGCCGCGTGTCATGGCTGATGACCTGAGGGTGTGGGGACAGGTCATGCGAGGACCCGAGCTGCTGCGCCCCAAGGGGGACAGTAACGCCCGTGGTCACACGCAAGGCAGTGGGGCAAGAGTGAACTTGGGCAGGGTGTCTCAGGGCCCACGCGGCGCCCGAGAGCACGGCAGTACAGCTAAGACCACATGCATAGCGCCAGAGCACGGTGGCCCCCAGTGCCCAAGAGACTGACCGCTGCCAGGAGCCCAGAGCCAGGGCCTGGCCACCGGCTGGCAAGGTGGTAGCCACTTCCTTGGCGAGGGATGAGGGATGGCAAGGAAGCAGGCAGCACCTGTGGGGTCCCCGGGTCCTGCGGCACAGCTGGCCACGAGGACTCCGGCAGCCAAGGAGCCATTTCACGCCTGCCAGCAGCAAAGTCACAGACCGACAGGGTGGGGCCTGGAGGGGCCGGGAGCTCCTCCCCGGGGACAGGGCATGCGGCTGTCCATCTCATCCCTGCACAGGGAGAACTTCCCGGCCCAGAGCGGGCGCCCGGCCCAGGGCAGCACTTCAAGGACCCCGTCCCTGTGGCCACCAGCAGATGCGAAGGTCAGGGTCACGGCCCTGGCCCCCACAGCCGGGCTGGGTGATTGCAGCTCCTGGGAGGAGTCCAGGACATCGACCCGCCTTGGAATCAGAACCAATGCCCCCTCGCCACTGCAAGCTCAGCGCAGCCTGGCAGGGCCCCGTGCTCATCGGGCAGGGCCAGCTCTGGGCAGGTGCCAAGTCAGAGGCACCTGCCACACAGTTTCTTAAAGGGGACAGAGAGTCCCGTGTGACATCCCTGTGACAAAGAGTGCGCAGCACGCTGAAACCGACGCAGCTTCAGGTTAACCGGGAGAAGACACGCAGTTATAAGGCAGGGTGAGAACTTCAGGTTAGCGAAAACAGGATATAAATCCCCAGGTGTGGTGGTGCACGCCTGCAATCCCAGCACTTGGGAGGCTGAGGCAGGAGGCTCTATCTTAAAAAACCAAAACAGAAAAAAGGCAAAAAAAAAAAAAAAAACCCCAAAAGTCCAGGATCTAAGTATGCACACCTGCGCCTTCGCACACACGTGCATGAACACGGTGCTCACAGATGGACCTGTGGGTGCATCACGTGGGCCTGGGGACAGAGCAGGGAGGGGGTTGCGGGTCAGGGGACCGTGCCCATCTCATAAAGAGAATTTTTATAGTGAACTCGTATAAATCACTTGCTATTTGTAGGATCCGACGTCAGTAACAAGGGCAAAGAGGACAAAAGAGTTTGAGATAGGGTTTGGTCAAGGAAAGCAATGTGTGCACGCCCTCGTGTAGACGCTGACGCTGTGTGGCCCTGCGGGAAGCCGCCCCCAGCGCTTTCGTTTTCCACTGCTGTCTCATCTTCAACTCTTCTACGAGCTCTCGGACAGGGCAGACGCATCCTGTCAGTCACAGGAAGCTGCCGGCCGGCCACAGGGCTGGACCGGAACTGGCCTGAGCACAGGGTGGGGACGCCGCTGCCTGCCGGAGCCCGGGAGGCATGACTCCCTCTGCTGTGACTCAGTTTTCCCTGCCACACCCCTGCAGAAGCAGCTAGGGGTGGCCAGAAATAAATCGTCGGGGGATGGGACAGTCACTGGGGACCGGCAGCCAGGGAGGCAGGGAGGAGCGGTGTGAGGTACTGACCGGGGAAGGACGCTGGCTGAGACCCCAAGGGCAGACACAGTCCAAGCGCCAGGCCAGGCGTGCGGCCCTGGGACGGGGCTCCTCCTCCCCAGGGACCGTTTCCCATCTGCTAAGTGGGGGCGTGGACCCCGAAGCCCTGTGGGTCTCTGTCTGAAGAGCTCCACACGGGGTCGGAATCCCTCTGCCGCCTCCTGTGGGCCTGGCGGGGACATGCCTCGCACCAGCACCCTCGGTCTCTGCCGCGGAACCCACCTCCCTGTCGATGAGCCGAAGTGGGTACTTGATGTCAGGGCTCTCGAGGGTGAGGGCCGGCCGCGGGCGCTGGAACAGCTTCATGAACAGGCTGTAGAGGAACCAGACAGGGGAGAGCGCCACGCGCCCCAACTGCGAGGACAGACAGACAGACAAGTGAGAAAGACCGAACCCTCCAGGGCGGGCAACAATGGCCAAGTGGTCCCACTGTGCCCTGGGGTTGTGGGAGCAGAGTCCTCTCCAGGGTCCTCGCTGTCCTGAGCCCACTGGACCAAGTCAGGGCAGCTCAGGTAGCCTGAGTGGGGGCGTGTGACCGTCACCAGCGGCTGGAGGAGGCCAGCACGGACCCTGATCTAGATGTCAAAGGGCAAGGGTGTTTGGGGTTCAGCCCGGCGGGCACCTTCGCTCCAGGCTTCCAGTCTCCAAAACTGTGAGCGCTATGGTAGCTTAATCAGAGGCTGTGGAGCAAAGTTCACAAACAGGGGCTCTCAGGAAAGCACTTTCACACCTGGTCCTCTCACCTGCCTGGTCTATCTCCCTGACTTTTGCTCTCGCAGCAAAATGACTGTGTTCTCTCCTTAGCATCACCCTCAAGTTCTCCTTTCACCTTGGCTGCCAGGAGGCTCAGAGCCAAGTTCCCTGGGTGTGCCAGGCCTCCGCTCCTGTGGTGGGATCTGCTGCAGGCCTCCTCAGGTAGTGCATTCTCACCTCAGGGCCCCGCCCTGCTGCCCTCCTTCCCCGGCTGGCTCCATGCTGTACAGCCTAGGCCTCACAAGGGACCCAGGTATGTGGCTGACAGGTCTAAAAGCAAGAGCTCAGGGGCCCAGGTCCTGGCCACTCCGCACCTACTGTGTGCCAGGAACCCTGCAGGAGCCTCGGCTCGCCTGGTTGGCAGCCACTGACTGTGAGATCACAGACCTGGGCTCCCGACCCAGCTCAGGACCCCAGGCTAGGACCGCAGGCTGTGCCCCCAGGGCCAGGCAGCAAAGCAGATGTGGCTCGGAAAGGCCACATGCAGAGAGTCCAGGGGCCACAGACTCGGGGCTACTGCTGCTCTGGGTGTGGGACACGAACTCCTGGGGTCAACCCCACTGCGCCCTGGGCTGTGGGTACAGCAGGGAAACTGAGGTCCAGAGTCAGTAACTACCCCAAGTCCCAGGAAAGCCAACCCTCTAAGTAAACCACAGAGACACTGATACTGTCACCCTGATTTCTCAGAGAGATTAAGTAACCGCCACCGTCACAGCCAATCAGGCGTGGGGCCAGGGCCTGACCGGGGCCTGGCTAGTCCAAAGCGCTGCTTTTCCTGCCGTCTCCTGCCTCCTGTGGGGAGCCCTGGGCTCCGCTCCAGCCCCAGCTGCCCAAGGCATTTCCACCGCTCCTCATGTGCCCACCCTGACTCGCCGCTGCCCCCTCCAGCCCGGGCGCCCTGTGCACAGCCTATCTTGCTCCAGGCCTTCCCATACGCTTTCTGCCCCCAAAGTCTCAACCTCTGCATGCATCCGAACAGTGGGCTCCTACTCACCCTCCAGAGCCCGGCTCCAACACCTGTCCCTAACCAACAAGCCTTTGGTGGACTTTTACCAGCCTCGGTCCCCCTGTCACTGATCGTGAGGATTCCCCTGCTCTGGACCTCTGCGTGTCAAGCCAGGGAGCCCCCTTCCCACGGAGCTCGGCTTAGGGAAAACCTGGGTGCGGCATGTGCAGGAAGCTGCCATTGTTGGGAGCCCTAGAGACGAGGCCTAATGACATTCCCAGCCAAGGACCGGGCCAGTGGAGTGCGCCCTGGCCTGTGCGCCCCAGCACAGACGTTCAAGGGTGCAGCATCACGGGGCTCCCCTGCACTCCTGCTGGACAAATGTGGGGACAGAGGAGCTCGTGGAGCCTGGGTGGTGTCTGGGCATGGTGCCCAGGTGCCCCACATCACCAGCCTGCAGCAGGTGCTGGGCAGAGGAAGACACTCAGGTCTCAGGCTCGAGGCCGGGCCCCAGACACCACAGCCCCTCAGCTCCCGGAGAACTCGGTGCGTCCAGCGCTCAGCGCAGCCAGTGCTCGGCGGGTATTTGTAGGAGTTTGAGAGAGGCAACAGGCACCCTGCTTCACCCGTCGGCACTTTTCATGGTGCTGGGAACCCAAGCAGGAGCCCGGGGCCCGGCCATCATGTTGGCGTCGCACAACCCCAGCGCCACACAGGCTGGAGGCAGCTTGGGATGTGGTACTAAGAGCCCCGGGGGCATACGGGCAGCCAGCACCCAAGGAAAGCACTACCTCCTGGTAGTGGGAGCTGCCGCCGCTCCCATTCCAGATGAGGAAACTGAGGCAGATCATTGCTATCTGTCAGTGATTCAGTCAACAAGCCCCAGGGGACATTCAAGGGCCTAAGAGGGAGGCCACAGGCCAAGAGGCCCCACGCTGAGGAGCTCAGGTGAGAGGAAGGGGACAGACACAGGTGGGGGAGAGTGCTGGGTGCCCAGCAGTAGAGGGGTAAGGACTTGTCACTGAGTCAAAGGCCTGACCAGACCCCCCAGGGGGTGCACACTGTCCCCACCCTGGACCACGGCAGAGGCCGAGCACACAGGAGGCAGGTGGCTGGGGCCAGGCCCTGCCCCTCGTCACAAGCAGATGCCACTTCACTCAGCCCCTTGGGGACCTCAGGACAGCAGCCTGCCTGCCTGGTGCCCCGCGCCCCCATGTGCCCTGCAGGCCGTACTGCCTGCCAGAACAGGAGGAGGAAACTGGGTGCAGAGCCCCAAACACCATGGGGAGCCCCACTCCGCACCACAGCTCCCCACCCCACGGGACACCCCGCCCAGCTGCCCGCTGACACTGCCCACTGTGACCCTGCTTCCCCAGGGGCCAGTTCCCTGAGCTGGGGCCCAGACAACGCATCAGTGACTGGCTTACCTGCCCACTGCCCAGCCACTGCTGTCCCCAGGACCCAAGTGACCACCTCCCTTGGGCTGTGGGCCATCTCAGTGGGAGGAAGTGGGAGGGGAGGAAGGAAGTCCCACAGCGGGGCTCGGGGCCAGCCAGGACACAGGGGGGCGGGGGGCCAGGAGGAGAGCTGTACAGCCTGGTGCCCCACGCCGAGGAGACGGCCTGCTCCCTGAGCACACAGCTGCCGGGGCCGGCGGAAGCCCTGCACACCCTACCTGTACAGTGGGCCTGTCCGGGCCTGATGGGCACTCAAGGCTGGGCTGGGAGGCAGGGGAGCCACAGTGCAGGACAGTGGGCAAGCCCTCAACATCCTCCCCGGGCGGCTGGCAGAGCCGAGTGCCAGCCCCTGGACCGGGCCCCTGACCGTGCAGACGCCTTCCACAGGGCCTGCACGGTCCAGATAAGAGGCTGCTGCGCCAGGTCCCCACGCCCCGCAGGGCATAGGAGGCCTGACTGGGAGTGTGCCCAGGGCATCCAGGCAGGCCCCACCAAGTACGGGTGATGGCCAGCACCCCTTGGACAGATGAGACCAGGGGCTCCTGCCCCGCCCCTGGAGGGGGACTGTCATCTGCTCAACAGGCAGGCACGGAGCAGCCTGCTGCACCTACGCGGGCCACCCCAACTGCGAGGGGAGAAGCCCGGGCAGGCGGGGGCGGGCCTTGAGGAAGGAGGAGGGCCACCTCCGCAGCGACCTGCCAGGCTGTCACCCTGGGCTACAGGATGCCCACAGCTTGCTGCTTGGAAGTCTGACCCCGCCCACACAAGCCTGGGCTGGGCCACACTTTCTAGGCCCAGAGGCCTGGCACCTGCCTCCCGGAGGAGGAGCCTCAGAGCCTAGAGGCTCAGAGACAGTGCCCGGGGCAGAGGTGGCAGCGCAGAGGCCTCACCTCCCGGTGCCAGCCTCCCCACCCCAGGAGTCCCTGCACACGCGGGTCAGGCAGGGTGTGAGTATGCGGTGGAGGGGATGCTCTGGCCAGGGGTGATCTCCAGAAATCCGAGAGGATTAACCAGCTGGGGCAACCAGCAAGAACGGCCTCAAAAAATAAAAATAAAGTAAAAACTGGGGGGTCGGGGGGGCAGGGCCGGCACCAGCCCGGGCGCTGGGGCCAGGTGGACTTTGGAGCCCACAAGCCTAACCCTCCCTCGCTCAGGGCTGTGGGCGCGAAGCCAGGTCCGAAAGGTGCCACATCATCTGCGGAGGGGACAGGCCTGGGCCCCAGTGACGGCGACAGGGGCAGGGGCCTGCAGGTGGCAGCCGCGGCCACACTGAGTGCTGCTGTCCTGGCGAAGAGATGTGCGCAGCCTCTGCTCCACTGGCCCCACGCACACTCACCCTGCACACTCACGTTCACACTCATAATTCACTCCTGCAGTCACACCATCCTCACAGTCCTGCACACACTCACACCCATACCGCCACACAGTGCTGACACACAACTCGCACACATCCACTCGCACACACTCATTCTCGCACACAGCATTCACTCATGCATTCACACACTCACTCACATTCACATACAAAGTCGCACTCCAAGACACTCCCACTCCTACACTCATGCACACTCACACATGCACTCACACGCATCCAGACTGCCCACACCCACTCACATGCACACCCGTCCGCTCGCACACGCCCACTCGCTCACGCCCACGCAGTCACACTTCACATTTGCACAACCGCTCGCCTGCACACGCGCGTGGCGCACAGCACTTCGCATGCACACGCGCTTAGTCACACCCCAACTTTCTCACTCACACCCACACGGACACGCCGCTCGCGTTCCCGCGCACCGCGCCCCCCGGGTGCCGCCCCGCACGCCGAGTCTCCGGCGGAAGAGGGGAAGCGGGGTGCAGGGGACGGGGAGCGGCCGGGGAGGGGCGCGGCGGCTG